TTTTTTTTTTTTTTTTGAGCAAGATTAGCCCTGAGCTAACATCTGCCACCAATCCTCCTCTTTTTGCTGAGGAAGACTGGCCCTGAGCTAACATTCGTGCCCATCTTCCTCTGCTTTATATGTGGGACGCCTACCATAGCATGGCTTGCCAAGCAGTGCCATGTCTGCACCCAGGATCCCAACTGGTGAACCTCAGGCCGCCAAAGCGGAACGTGCGAACTTAACCATTGCGCCACTGGGCTGGCCCCTATAACAGCTTTATTGAAGTATAATTCACATACCATATGAGTCACCCATTTAAAGTGTACAAGTCAATGGATTTTAGTGTATTCACAGAGTTTGCAGCCATCACCACAATCCATTTTAGAATATTTTCATCACACCAAAAAGAAACCCCTTACCCATTAGCAGTCACTACCCACTCTCCCCCCAAGCCCTCCCCCAGCCCTAGGCAACCATTAATGTGCTTTCTGTCTTTATGGATTTGCTTTTTCTGGACATTTCATATAAATGGAATTATACAGTAAGTAGTCTTTTGTGACTTGCTTCTTTCACCTTTATAATCTTTTTTTTTATTTAAAGATGTTATTTTTCCTTTTTCTCCCCAAAGCCCCCTGGTACATAGTTGTATATTTTTAGTTGTGGGTCCTTCTAGTTGTGACATGTGGGACGCCGCCTCAGCATGGCTTGATGAGCAGTGCCATGTCCACAACCAGGATCCGAACCAGTGAAACCCTGGGCCGCTGCAGCAGAGCGCGCGAACGTAACCACTCGGCCACGGGGCCAGCCCCCACCTTTATAATCTTAATAGTTCATTTTGAGAGTCACTGAAATACAGGCAAGCTTCCTCCAGAGATGTGTGCACCTTCTGACCTGTAAAGATATACACTGCCTCGGGTACATGTGCTCAAACACCTCCACCTGCTCACTCAGGAAGGAACACAAACACACCAAGACAAACTTACCAGCTAAGGTGACTGATCGCAGAGATAACGCTCTCCAAATAAACAGCTTCATATCCAGGCTTATCTAAGTGCTGATATCACTGCAAATGCGTACACGCATCCTGAAGCATGTGTGAGAAAATGGTGAAAATATGGTGAGCTGGGAGGGACTGAGGGCTGAGTGGACAAGAGAGAGTGAGAGCGTGATGGCAAGTTGAGTTTCTTTAAAGTGTATTCTCCTGGTGTGTAAAACACTTCCTAGAGCTTTTAGTTAAGTTTTTTTAACCTGTACCAATTGTCTGATATTTATATATTATTTAATATGTATATAGACTTGGTAAGATTGTTGTAGTTCCTTAACCTATTGCGTAGCAGTCCTTTTGTGCAGGATGCTATTAATCATAATTATAAGGTAAGGGACTTCCATATGGAAAATTACAACCAACAAAAATATTTTGGTTCCCTGGGTATAGTGTTGTCATTTTAATGAGGAGTCATTAAGGAATATTTCTTTGCTATGCATACCAGTGAAAAGAGAGGAGGCCCCTCAAACGTATATATTATAAGTCTGACATCTACTCAGGCAGCCTTTACCCTGCGGCAAGCATGGCAAGATTTGATACACCCCAAGATTTTTTTTTCATAGTGGGCAATTATTAACCCAAGTTAGTATTCTTAAATAACTGTTTTGTTTTGTTTCCTCTTTAAAATAGCCACTGGGGTGCTGCACCTGCTTGGCAGGCGGGTGGAGTGGGTGGGTGGGGGTCGCATGAGGGGTGGGGAAGTGGTGAAGAAAGCTCAATTTGATTGGGAAATATCAACAAGTATGTGATTATTTGAAGTCAAGCCCCGCCTCTCTGTTTTTCGACTCCTCGTCCCTAAGATCTCTAGTTTCTTGAAGAAAATCACAGAACCATACACAGAAATGTGTGACAGATCGGCACTTCTCTCCTCTGCAAGGCATCTGAGGCAGCCCCACCCCTGTTAGTCATCAGCACACCCTCTGTACCTGCCCCTCCTTTGCCAGTTTTTTTTGAGCCCCCGTTATTACTCCTCCTTGTTAAATGATCTCATGTCCTGCTCTCCACCAGAGAATAGCGCTTGTCACTGCGTTCAGCCCCTTAGCCTTCCCGCCTGCCAGAGCCTCTTTCTATTTTTTCCCACTGCCCAAACCCTAGCTCTGGCCCATCTCTCCTTTTGAGTAGGATACTGGGGAAGCCTCTTCAAAGAAATGTTGTTTGAACTGGTCCCTGAAAGATGTGAAAGGATCTGAACATGAGAAAAAGGGAGAGAGGCTCTGTCAGGTGTCCTGAGCAGTGTGATCTGAGGGCTGGAGCAGGAAAGCGTGGAGCTGCGTTTACTTCCTTGGCTGGAATCCCTGGCGCATGAAGAGCACTCCTTCCTCTTTCTTCCTTCCTCTCCTTTCCCTGGCTCCCTTCCCATCCCGCCCCCCCCCCCCCCCCCC